TTTTTTTTTCTTTTTTTTTTTTTTTTTTTATCGGGTCATTCAAATAACTTGCACAGAAATGAGTAAGCACATCTCACTTCCTGTCCACAGCCACCTCAGCACAGCAAATATAAGACCTACATGTGTCGGGACATGAAACAAAAAGGCGGCTGTCCTCGCGGGGCAAGTTGCACCTTCGCTCACTCTCAGGAAGAGCTTGAAAAGTAAGCAGCACTTGAAGTGCATTAAATAAAGCATAATAAGCATTAGTATCAGCTTCACCACATTTTCTCTGACAACAGATACCGTAAGATGAATAAACGTTTAGGAATGAGGCGCCAGCTCAGCCAGTCCCTGACCCAGCTGAATGAGATGGACTTCGGCACCGGTCTGTTGCCTGACGAGGGGCTGCTGATGGAGGGACTCCCACGCAAACCCTCCTCCATCACTAACATCATCCTAGCAACAGGACCTGAATCCACTTTGGCCCACCTGGTTTCCAGAGGCTCGGACCCGTCATATGACCCAACACGCAAACCGGAGAAGATGAATTCTGGGAGCCTCAGTGCGCCTGGCTCACCTCCAGAGTCGTGAGTTTTTTTGTTTGGGGGGGGGGGGGGGGGGGGGGAATAAATCATATATTAGCACTGGGGATTTCAAACCTTTTTACATCACATATTGCCAAATGAGAAGATCCCCTTGCCAAGGATCCATTTTGTAAAGTATAATGTATGTTTTAATTTATTAAGAGCTATGTAAAAAATGAAAAATATTATAAATACCATTAACTATAAAATATTATTATTATTAAGTAACTGTTAATTTTAAATAATGAATGGATCTAAATAAATCAAAATAGTCTCATGATTTGACCAGTTTTTAGAAAGAATGAAATGGCTAATTATTTTTTTTTATAGGAGAATTACTGCTATAACTGTATTAGCAGTGGCATTTTACATTATTTATATACTATTATAGTAGTTATTTTTTTTATTTGCATTTTATTTTCAGGTTTAATTTTAGTTTAGGTTTTAGTAATTTTATGTGCTATTATCATTTTTATTAGTATTTGTTTATTTATATTTAGCTTTATTTCATTTCCGGTTTAGTGATTTTGTGTGCTTATCATTTTTAACGGGGTCATATGACATTGCTAAAAATAACATTATTTTGTGTATTTGGTGTAATGCAATGTGTTTATGCGGTTTAAGGTTAAAAAAAAAAAACATTATTTTCCACATAATGTACATTATTGTTGCTCCTCTATGCCCCGCCTTTCTGAAACGCGTCGATTTTTACAAAGCTCATCGGTCTGAAAAGCGAGGTGTGCTCTGATTGGCCAGCTATCCAGTGTGTTGTGATTGGCCGAATACCTCAAGCGTGTGACGGAAATGTTACGCCCCTTACCATATTGTGATGCCATTTCCCGGCGTGATGAGACAACATCAATAAATCCCATTACAAACGAGGCATTTGTTGCATCCAGTGGGGACATAATTACTGATTTATAGGATCAGGAAACAGTCCTCCATAAAATGCGCTGCACACATCTGAATATTTGGGTTGAACTGTTCTGGAACAGTGTTGTAAATATAACTTAACCACTGATTTCTAGATGTGTCCTCTTTTGGAAGGCTAAACAAAGTAGTTTCGCTTTCACACCGAAACACACAGCGTCATACACCGCGGGCTTGAGTGAGCGGCGGCCGACAGGCTAGAGTGAGGAACGGCTGGCAGGCTTGCGGCAACCACACGTGATGACCCCGGGCTGGACTCCGCTTCATCCACGGTAAAAGCAGATTCGGTGATCCACAGCGCGAAGTTGATGTATTTCCTCAGCAACCAGCTCGGATCAGCTCTAGGCATGACGAAGTGGATATCGTCCTCTTTTGGAAGACCAAACAGAAGTAGTTTCGCTTTCACAACGAAACACACAGCGTCTCCACGACATGGTGGCGGCTGCAACAACAATACTACAGCGAGAATAAAAGTTATGTCTTCTTTCTTTGCGTGGACATTTGGGTGGTGTTATGCAAATCTTCCCACATCGTGACGTAGACATGTGGGAGTGCGTTTAAACGAGGCGTTTTAGGAGGGCGTGGACCAGTCTTAACTTTTATAAAGAATATCTCTTTGAGACTTTAATCTTTGCAACTTTAGGGATCTTATCTATGCACGAACAGCTTGTAACACTCCAAAGAGAAAGGAAAATTTGAAATTGCATATGACCCCTTTAATAATTATTATTTTTTTTTTTTATATTACTATTTTGCTTTTCTTTATTTTTTGCACTTTTTTACTAATTTTAGTACTTCAACTTATTTTCAGTTTAAGTTCGTCATCTAATATTTATACTTTCTATACAAGATATCATTATTAGATGACAAACTTAACTGAAAATTAGAAATGTTGCCTTGGCAACTTAATGAAATAAAATAATTAAATACTAAAATTTTTATAAACTAATCAAAACTATAGTTTTTTTTTTATCATTTGTTAACAATAATGACACTGCTATACATTATTCAACTTACTACATGGCTACTTGTCAAATAAATAAATACATAAATGGACATGAAATGTTAATTTGAGTCAGAATTGTTTAATTTAAAAAAAGCAAGACTGCCGAGTGATCATGCACTTTATCTCTTGATTTGCAGATTGGAATCCATCCCAAAACCAGGGATGCTCATAAATTCCCACTCCAGGGTAGCCGGCGATGTCGGACAGAAGCACATGCCTGCTGTGCCTAGAGTTCCTCACATGTATTCACCACACCACTCTGAACTGTATTACTCTGAGACACGAGGCCCTCTGCCACCCTCCACCCAATATGAATCCTCCCAGTACCCTGCAGGTAGCAAAACCCTTTCATTTTTTGAACAAACACATTACGTTTGGCACTTCTAGATCTTTGCACTTCTAAAAATGTTCATTTTCCTAATTTCAACAGGTAATCCTTATCCTCACCATCATGTGCACCCACGCTACACCCGTCACCCCGCTCCAGATCCAGGCATGCCACCATATCCGGATTCCTATTCCAGTTCCTACACCTCAGAGCGCCAATGCGCCAACCCAAGCTCCCATTACGGATACCCTTCACACCACGATGGCCGTCGCCACTCAGCCTACTCCCATCCCCAAACATTCCCCCCACGGGAGGAACTGGTCCGTAGGAGTCCGGACGTTCCCCCGCCGCTACCACCCCAAAGCGCTTCGTACCTGCCAGAACAAGACAGTTATAACCACTCCAGTCAGATCAGGAATTACCCAAGGGTAAGATCCATTACCTGTAATATTTGAACTGCATGGGTCTCATTCCAAACCTAAAGAAAACATAACCTAATACCGTGTCCACAGAATGCCTACACGCGATCTCAGCCTTCCCTAGACTACCTGCACCGTCGAAGACAGGAGATCATGGCCCAGCTGGAGGACAGAAAGGTCGTTTCCCCATCGCCCTTTAGCTCCTCGCACTCGCACGATCCCAGCTACCCTCAGGACACGAGGGGACAGAGCCATGTAAGCCAGAAAAACAATATTTCATAGAAATAATAATACTAAGCAAAATGTAGAAGGGCTGCATGTTTAGTAAGGGATAATGTACATCCAGCTGGTTGTTATCGCAGAATAAGGATCTTGTATCACCCTGAAGGGGGCTATTCAGTGATAACAACTGGCTGGATGTACATTAACTCGTTTAATACACAGCTACTTGCCACACAAGTAAATAATTAGACACGAAATATTGATTTGAGTTTAAATATTTGAATGCAAAGCTTCCGTGAAGACAACTTATAGTCCATTACAGTGTACGAAACAATCGTCGTGAAATGGCAGCAGCTGCATTTGTATGAAACGAGAGAGCGAATCCGCGATACCAGGATGACATCATAATTGTACACATAATACTGAACCAATTAAATACTGAATACTAAACAAACGCAAAGCTTCCACAAAGAAAAACTGTTCCTATCAAGCGTATAGTGCCGACTTCAGTTACCCGGATGAGCCTGTTATCAGATTTTACTGGTTGTTATTGAGGGATAACATACCTCGGAATGTCGCGACTGATCAATCAGAAGCAAGTATTCCACAGGGCCGTGTAATAAATCTAAAACAATTGTTTAATGTTTGAAAAAGAAATTAAGACTGCCATAAATTAGTCTTGTAATTAAAAAAATAATTAATTCGTAATAACAATGGTGTAACTGGTACTGTAAAATTATTATTATATTTTTTCTGAAATCTATTTTAGTAAAATTATATCCATTTTAATTATTTATTGTTAATATTATTGTTATACATATTAGTATTGTAATTTTAAAACGTAGTAAAAGTAATAATGAAATACTCAGTTTTAGTAAAATTATAGTAATTTCTTATTTTATTTTTTGTTTAACAATAGTTATTATTATTATTTTATATTTATATTGTATTGTAATTTTAAGAAAACTAAATTATCGTTGGTGTTAATGTATATTTATATTGAAATATAAATCACAAAATGTTGGGACAATTAGTCCTACAGACTAGCACAGCAAATCTGGAGTTTTTTTTTTGTTTTATCATATCTTATCACAAAAATTGCAATTAGATTTTTTTTCCCCCCAAATCATGCAGCCCTAGTAGGAAGTGTTTGGTAATGAGTTGCCATATCCGTGTCGTTCGCAGTACATGGAAGAGAACTCCCATGGTTTTGGACATTTCCGGGAACCAGACTACACCAGCTCATATTCACCTTGGTCATGTGACCCCTTCGGTTCCTACATTGGCGGCAAGGATATAAAGTCCAAAGAGGGCATGGACACAGTAAGTTTTGCATGTTTATAGGGACATAAGGGATTCTCAAGCAGTTGTATTTTTAACAAAAACATGGCCAAAGGCATACACTGAAGGAGGAACCTGAGCTAGATCTAGAGACAAGAATGTTAAAGAAATTTAGTTTTTATTTTATTTATTTTTTTATACAAAACTCCCTAGCAACCACATAGCATGCACTGACAACCAACTATAGCACCTTAGCATCATCATTAAGAATTTTCTATGGGCAAAAATTGTATAAAAATTTTTTTAATTTGAGTTCATTAAAGCTGAAAGGCTTCACATTGCAAGGGGATTTTGTCCCGTTTCTCCCACACATTCAGATCTGTGCTGTTTTCAGTGACCGTTCCATTAAAAAAGGTTATCAATGTTTGTTCTGTCTAGTTTGTACAAATACTGTTGACAAACCAAAGGCCATATAAACATATATTACAGATGACTAGGGCTGGGTTTTGACTCAAATTTCACGATTCGATTCGATTCTCGTTCACAAGCATTCGAATATCAATTATTTTGGATACATATCAGGTACAGTACATGCCAAGGAAAAAAAATCTCTCAACTAATGCTGTAAAATATACACGAGTCAATTGGTACTACATTACTATAATATTGAAGGTTAAAATTGACTGATTTGTAGGCTAATATACAACTGCTAAAATTACACAATGAAGTTTTTAAAATAATTAAGTTAGTTAGCTACATAATAATACTTCTACTTCAATTCGTTTTTGAAATATAAACATTTAAATGGTGGCTGTCAAAAACTTGATGGATTTATTCAAACATAAATGAAACATTCAAGAACAGTAAAAATTATAATGAATGTGTTATATGGTGCATATATTTAGCAAAATGCCCCTCTCTACAGTTATGCCAAGGAAAAAAAATCTCTCAACTAATGCTGTAAAATATACACGAGTCAATTGGTACTACATTACTATAATATTGAAGGTTAAAATTGACTGATTTGTAGGCTAATATACAACTGCTAAAATTACACAATGAAGTTTTTAAAATAATTAAGTTACAGTTAGCTACATAATAATACTTCTACTTCAATTTGTTTTTGAAATATAAACATTTAAATGGTGGCTGTCAAAAACTTGATGGATTTATTCAAACATAAATGAAACATTCAAGAACAGTAAAAATTATAATGAATGTGTTATATGGTGCATATATTTAGCAAAATGCCCCTCTCTACAGTTTATTTTTCTAGCTTACTAATGAGTTTATGGTAACCGAATATGTTTTTCTGAGGTAAATGTGACATTGTTTACAAGCCGTTATACTGACGTCTTTGAGCGGCTGAAACACTGATTGAGCGATTACATGAGACGGGATACGGATTGTAAAGTTGTACCCTTTCTTTTAACTTGCCTTCGGATGTTTAATCATGATTATTTTGTGCTGAAACTGGTATTAATGTGGAGGAGATGATCAGTTCACGTGCACCTCGTGCTGCTGTGTCTGTTGAACTGAGGCGATACAGCGATCGGTCACTCCACATTAAACCGCGCCAAAACGGCATTTATTGATGGATAGAATTTGAAATCTGAGACTGTTTCATATTAAAAGTACCAAAGCACAATGCTTATTGCGATATATTGGATGAAGTTCCCTTCAATGTTCCATCCATTAACTGAAAACAGGCTAGACTAGTCGATCTTGGGATTTAAGAATCGATTAAAATCAAGATATCGATATTTTTTTACCCAGCCCTACAGATGACCAATGATTTTTGTTAACGGTTCAGGCTTATTCCATGTTAATGCTTGGATAATATTCTTAAATATTAAACAGTGAAGTTGGATGTATTTAAATAATAGTATGCTGAGTAATTAGCATATTAATATAGGATTCTTGAGCTAATTGTAACCATTCCTAGCAGCAAAATTTAGACAAAGGCAAAAGTCTGAGAGCACACGGCTTGGAGCTTCAACGCAGAGCGGCAGATGTCAAAGACGACGACCCCATCATTCCCTTTGGCACCCTGCCGACCGTGTCTCGTTTTGGAGCCATCTCACGCACGTCTAAACTGGGCTACCCACCAAACAGTCCCATGCCACCCTTGCCAAACTCGGCCAAACACGCCGCCTCTGCTGGTAAACTCCTCCTGCTTTGTCTCCGCATTGCTAATGGGACAACATGATGATTTCAGTGTTTTTGAATGGTCTTTGTCTTCTCTTTCAAGCGGACTACACCTATGCGAATCACAGTGGGTGGAGTGGCGACTCTTACCAGCCGCACCAAAAGTCTCAGGGGCACTTCAGCGAGCGGTATGTCGCATAGCCCCACCCTTTACAAGTAATCACTTGGTTTCAGTGTAGTTTTATTCTAGAAAGGTCCTAAATGTGTGAAATATTTTCCGCTTATCCCGCAGGTCCAGTTTATCCCCTGCCGTGCAGGCGCGTGAGCAGCTGAGGATGGAGCTACAGCAGGTCAACCTGCAAATCAGCCAGCAGACGCAGAGTCGCGGCCTGGAGGTGAGACTGTCCATCCTGATGGATGTCATTTTAAAGGCCTGTTCACACCTTGTTCAATCGTACTAAACGACACCAAAATATCAAATATTTACTACATAAAATATTCACTTAAAATGAACAATAAAATGCATATTAAAATATATAAATTGTATAAAAATGCATTATGTATAGTATATTGAAGTTTTTTTTATATATATTATTTCTCTATTGAATACAACTAAATGACACCATATAAAATATTAACTTCAGTATATATGAAATTATTTTTGTATACAGTATATTTTATATATTTTCTTTTTTAAATATTTATGTACAGAATATTTTAGATTGTAGTGTGTATATTTTAATATAATTTAAAATAGCAATTTAAATAGTGTGCGTGTATAATACACAATTGAAATTTTTCATTTAATTCTTAAATTAATTAATTTTATTATATATATAAAATCTTAATTTTTAGTAGTATTGTTATTCTATAAAAACATCAAGAAATGAATGTAAAGAATAAAGATTATAATTATAAGGTCTTTTGTTGTTGTTGTTTTAATGATTCAGCTTCTCACTCTCTCTTTTGGCAGAACCCAAGCTCAGTCATGTCCCAGCCGTCTCGAGTGGACTGGTCATCAGGGAATTTGTCCAGTGAACAGCTGAGTCTCGAGCTGCACAAGGTGGAGAGAGATATCATCATGAGGACACATGAGATGGCCATGGTAAGCGAGACATGCAATTTATAGAGCTTCTATTAATTATTCATAATTAATCTATTCTATTTCCAGGGAATAATTAATGCGATTGTGGCCATTTCTTGAGCAGAAAATCAATTTTTAAGCAAGGTCATTTGTAAAAGTATAGTTTTTTTTCAAACTGGTATTGTGGAGTGTAATTTCAGTAGCTTTTATATTTCGGTTCACTCAGTGAAGTTCAGGAAGTGTTAAAAGTCATGTGGTTTACATTGCTGTGCTTGAGCATGAATTATTTTGCCTTCAGGAGAACCACGATGGCAAGTACAAGCGGGTCTCAGTCGAAAATGGACAAGACGAACACACTCTACAGCGAGATGAGCATCCACTCACTCTTAGGTGAAATATAACCGTGAATCTCACTAAAATGTGTTTTAAATCAAAAGAAAAATAAAGATATAATTTTAGTGTGCAAGTGCTATTTATTTGAAGTCAAGATTTGCTTTCAGAAGTACATGGTTTACATCCACTGAAAGAAATTCAAATACATGTATGGTCACATGTGGTTTCTTGTGTCCATCACAGTAGTTCTCATCGCCTTTCTCTCTTTGGTTGTAGTGAGGGCTCAAACGGCTCCATCAGTTTGGTCCAGGACCGTGGTTTCGTCAGCAGCAGCATGTCCTCGCTGACCAGTAAGACGTCATCTCTCAGTTTGTCCTCCGAACAGGTGGCCAGCAGCCCTGATTTGCCCAAGAACGGAGTCGTCCACTCCTAGTCGGCTCTTTCTACCTCAGATTCCCCTTCCTCGACCACCACCCCTCTCTTATGCCAGATTAAACCCTCTAGAGCCGGATGCTCCATCATCACTGGATGACACACGCCATTCATTCGCTTAATTCTGAGCGTTTAGCTGCCTCGCTGAGCCTCAAACACCCATCAGGCCAATATGGGTGGAGTTTGGGTGGGATCCACTGTGCATGTGCCTCAACAGACTTGCACAATCATGCCCTGATTTAGTTTCTTTTTACAGCAGTATCTGCTGTCATGTATTTTCTTCCTGTTCTTTGTTCACTTTCTTCCTGAGACTAGTCTTTTTTCATTGCCGCGTAAATCAGGGTGAATCTGAAAAACATATAAGATGATTTCACTTATGTTTAACTATCATTAATCCACTTTCTTGGGGTTTCAAAATTGCATTTTTATCAAAATGTGCTACGTTTTCGGTAGTTACACTCTTGTTCGTGCTTGGTCTGGCGTTTACACTTGTGTCAGGGTTTACTATGTTTAAATTCATTTTTTTACTGCAGGCTTGCTGCATATTCAACCAATGGAAAGCATTTTGTTTTATTATGACAGTCAAAACTATGTATCGTGTTTCATACATTAGGCTTCATTTAGGCTTTTACAGTGTGATTGCTGCAATGCACATTATTGTGTGTTATAGAAATTCTCACAAACCTAAATGTTCACTGATTTGACCTCAACTGCGCTCATGCCAACAAACCCAAAAGCTTTTTCCAGTCTTATTGGGGCCCTTGTATTGTTTTCAGTGCATTACACTACACTGCCTGTGGGATTTCGATTGAACCGCCTGTAATCATCATCTTTTGTTATAATGTCATCAGGGATGCATTAATCTGCCTCTATATTTTGTGGACATAAATAGAAATAACAATCCAGGTCACGCAGTTTTTTTTTTTCATAGTGGGTATAGTTATATTTTTCCATCCTGAGGATGGAAAGAAAGCAGCTACGGTAATGCGTAAAGATGCATTCTGTTGTAAGAATGCGTATATACTACTCTTCACTTTGTCAGTGAAATTACAATCTTCAGATCAATCCACGATTTTTTTGTATATGTGGAGTTTTTCATCCTGAAAGATGTGCCGAAAGACTTTGACCCAGTTGTAGCCACCTCAAGACTCTCCTTCATTCTTCGTTTCATCTCAAGTTTTGAAGAACGTTGTTTTGATGGGCCGGTTCAATCGAATTCCCCTACAGGCTGGGCTCATGCATGTACATCACAGTTCTCCTCAAATTCATTCTAATATTGATGGGGGATTAACTAAGCTCCTATACTTCACTTTACTGTCAAGTGTCTTGCAGGAGACTGTTTTGGACTCCTTACCTTTTAAAGGAATAGTTCACCCAAAAAAACAATTTGCTGAAAATTTCCTCACTCTCAGGCCATCCAAGATGTTGATGAGTTTGTTTCTTCATCAGTACAGATTGGGAGAAATGTAGCATTACATCACTTGCTCACCAATGGATCCTCTGCAATGGCAGTTGCATTCTGACGGCAGTGAATGGCTGCCGTCAGAATGAGAGTCCAAACAGCTGATAAAAACATCACAATAATGATGTTTTACTCTCAATGACGGCACCCATTCACTGCAGAGGATAAATTAGAGAAGTTCTCCAAATCTGTTCTGATGAAAATCAAACTGGCCTGAGGATGAGTAAAATCTCTCACAATTTTCATTTTTGGATGAATTATTCCTTTAAGAGAACCAAACCACTAAGCATGAATACTTCCATATTTCACATTATTCAGAATTGGTTTTGTTTCTGACCAAACCAAAAATTGAGTTTGTAGTTCCGTCAATCCCAGTGATCTTTAGAGTCACGCCACCAGCCAGTTCTCCGATGTTGTTGGGAATAAAAGTAAAACTTTGTTGAATCTGCAGACGTTTTTCACATTTTCTGTGCGGATTTTGGAAGAACATCTGAAAGCATAATCAAGCTAGCCAAAATAAACAAGTGAAGACGCAATACGAGGATAATGTGCTCACAGATTCTGCACAGACATTGGCAGCTGTTATTAAAGTACACAACATCATATTTCCGTGATCAGTAATGTATTAGGCTCATCAAAACACTTGCACTGTACATCTCAAACTTGCATTTTTCCATGTCGTTGCTTCCTTGGTGGTGAGATCTCATCACTTAGGAAGCAGTCATGCCTCAAGAATTTAGTTTTAAATTGGAGGTTAGTTTATTGTAGTTGTTTTTTTTTCTTTTCTTCTTCTTCCTGCTAGCATATAATGGTCTCTTGAGACATCCTACCGCAACCTTAAAAGCACCTATTTTGGTGGAACTTCTCTTAAGTTGGAGTTGATTTCTATTGTTTTTATTTTCGTTATTACTGTCGCTTTGGTCTGAGCTCAACATTTAAGCAATCGTCAAGATTGTGCATCACAGTGGTTACCTAAACGAAGTTGCAATATCCATTGTAGACTTTAAGGATTTACCCAAAATTTGTTCGAAATAAACTTTTTATTTTTAGTTTAAAGCCACGAATTGGATTACGAGTTCAAAAAGGTGAAGGTATGTTAAACGCTCTTGTAGGAATTTTTAGGATCTAGTATAAGTCCTAGGTCCACTTGGGTAACAATCTTTATTTTTTGTTTTAAAGGAACATCTCTGTCTTTATCTCAGGGTTGATTTTAGTGTATTTGTGTGTGAACATCGTGTTACTGGTTTTTTTTTTTTTTTTTGTTTTTTTTTTTTTTTTTGGGCTGCAATTTTTCTTTAACCAGTTTCA